TAGTGAAAACTGTTAAAATCTGGGGAAAATGTTCAATCCAGGGTCAGAGTTGATGGCGGGTAATCGAGCCGAAATTAGGCCAATCTCCCCATAGTCATGGGTTCCCGTCCCTTTCATCGTTTTTCATCATTCTTCCCTTTTCTTAATTCGATCGTCGTAAATAGTAAATTAACTGTAAGTTCCCCAAAATTAAATTCCGAGAAAGTTTAAATAAATGGCCGAATTCCTTTTGTTTCTTTTCTCTTTTACCATTTTTAATTTTTTTTTATGTTTTTAATTTCATTGCCGGGAACATAAAATAACAAGGGTATTCCCCTAAGAATTAAATGCCATGAAAATAAAGAAATTAAGGGATATTATGTTTTTCCCGTCTCCCCTACTGGTCTTAATCCCTTTTCCCCATCTTTAATTATGGTACTAAAATAGACAAAAATTTGAGGCTTCATTTCGGCCCCGGTCGTATGCAGCAAAAACGTTGCGGCGAGGTCAGTTCCCGCGATGCCTCTCCGCGGCAGGCCAATCCGGGTCTAACCCTCTGAACGGCCGGAAATGACGGTCCCTAGATGCGCCGAGTGCGGCCACCAATCTCGCCATCTTTGAGGATTACTCGTAAGGTTCAGTGCGCCCAAAATCAGGGGTGCCCTGAGTTCCCCTAATTTCTGTTGCCTGGTCATACCAGAGTACCGTCAAAACACGGACTTGTCCATGAGCCTAAGCCCCAAAGCCGCAGATTTCAGGCGGCGCACTGCTTGTGGCCGCCTGACACCGTGTTCTTCCAGCTCCTTGTCTCCTGATCCCATAAATCCCCAACTCGTCGTACCCCTTGTTTCACCCAGCCCTTCCAGGGAGTGTCCGAGCTGCAACGTACCCGTCCTCCGGGGTCTGTTATTAGTTGGTTGCCAAAGAGTGGTTGTTTGAATATTTCTTCCCACCTTTCTGGCGCAGGGCGGTCGGGGGGGGGCAGTTTCCTCCAGGTACTTGAAAGGTGCACCCAATGTTTGTCCGCAGGGTCCCCGTTTCTATACTTCCTAGGCACCCTCCAGTACCTGTCATCTAACCATACTCGGGGGTCAATCTCCGATGGGGTTTCCGGGGCCAGGTCTGCGAGTTGGGCCAGGGCTAGGGGGACCCGTGGGGATGCAGGTGAAAAAATAATGTGCTGGAACCAGCGGATTGTGAGGGCGTGAAATTGCGTGGCCGGATCCATGATTCCTAGTCCTCCTCTATTCTTGGGCTGGATCACCGAGTCCCATGCTACACGACTTATGGCGTGGGAGGTGTTGTTGTCGCCTCTCCAAAGGAAGGCTGTCAACTGTTGTTTAAGTGCTTTGAGCCCCCCATTACTCATAGGCCATAGGATGGCCTTGTACCAGAGTGTGGCCAGAATTACGTTATTGATAACCAATGCTCTCCCAAAAATCGATGTGTGTTTATTATTTCATTTTTCAAACTTTGTTTTCGCCGGTCCAGCCAACCATTCATCATTAGTTGTCGGCTTTCCTCTGGCAGTCATTAGTGCCCCCAGAACCCTCAGGGGATCATCATGGGGAAGCCATGTGATTCGTGGGTTCTCCGGGGATCTTCCCCCCTTGATGGTGCATCCACCAACCCACTGTTTTCTGTCCCCAGTTGACCGTCATGTCGGACAGCTGACAGAACTTGCCCATGAGCCGCATGATCTCCTCCATGTTGAATACTGTCGCTTCCATCATGAGAGTTAGGTCGTCTGCAAACAGGGAACAAATAGGGATTGCTTCCTGCGGAATATTGGATATGCGCGTAAGGTATTTGTTTTGTCTCAGGTTGGCTGGTAATGCTTTCATTATTACTAAGAAGAGGTATGGGGCAATCGGGTCCCCTTGTCTCACTTATCGCTGGAGCTCAAAAGGTGGTGCCACTGACCCATTGACCTGGACACAGGTAGTGGCATTTTGGTGAAGGATCTTAACCCTGCGACGAAACAACGGACCGAAGTTAATTTTCTCCAGACATTTATCAAGGAAAACCCAATCCACATGGTCATAAGCTTTTTCGAAATCGATGAAAATGATGGCCGCATTTGCGTGATTCCGATGCGCCAATTGGACCACGTTGTTTACCAGCAAGATGTTTTCTTGTAAATTCCTGCTGGACATAAATCCTGTTTGGGCCGGGTGTATGACCTCTTCCAAGACTGTTGCCATCTGGTTAGCCAGTGCTTTGGAAAACATTTTGTAAACTACAGTGAGCAAGGTAATAGGCCTGTAATTCCTGATATTCATTTTATCTCCTTTTTATACAGGAAAGACAACACCCCTTTCCCTACAGTTTCCCCCATTTCTCCGGCCTCCCATACGTCTTGGTAATACTCCCACATGTCGATGCTTATGTCTGTCCATGTGGCTTCCCAGAACTCTTTGGGAAAACCGTCTATACCGGGGTTTTTTTCTTCCTTCATTTGGAGGAGTGTTGTCCATACCTCTTCTTTTGTGAGTGGTATCTCTAATCTGTCCCGCTGCTGAGGGGATATAAAACGGTCCATTGGGGAGAGGAATTCTTATATTTCCATGATTCTTGCCTCCCCCTGCGGGAATGGGATTTGGGAAGTATACAGTTGTTTAAAAAATTTCCTGGTGATCAACATACAGTGTGTTGTGTCAGTGGCGATGGTGTTGCTATCATCTGGGTCGAAGAAGGCCTCAATGGACGTCCGTCTAGATTTAGCCGTGACCATTGAGAAAAATTGGGTGTCCATCGAAGCTTCGTGTGAAAGTTTAACCATCTTCCCTCAGATTCTAATCCCTTGCCATCTGTCTGATGCGAATTGCAAGAGTTGGTCTTTCTTATTTTGGATAGCTGCAGTAAGGTGATGTGACTCTTGGGTAAGATGTTGCGACTCTACCTGCTGTTCTAGGGTCATTAGTTCGTTGTGGGTGGTCATTTCTTGGTATTGTCGTAATGCTGCTTTAGCTATAAAAAATTCCTTACATTTTTTCGCTAGAAAGATTAGACCATTGTTGAACCATACCAGACGAGAGTCAAAGCGATGTTTTTGTTGGCGCCAAAAGTTTCATTCGTGCCTGATCATTTGCGAGAAGGAAGTATCGTTGAGCAGGGAGGTATTTAGTTTGTAGAACCCGGGTCCTTGATCGGGTCTTTTCCTCATAGTTAGTACTATACCGCATGTCTTATGGTCCAACCCCGGATGCGGGCTTCGCGGGAGAATCATCGCCCATGGCAAAGCTCCTTCCAGGTCGTCGGATAGTAGGATAAAATCAATTCTGGATTTGGATAAATGTGCCGGGTTGCTATCACGTATGCATGTAAAGACTCGTGCTTGGGGGTGCAGGCGACGAAGGGTATCGAAGACCGAAAGCGACCCATAGAGGTCAGCTATTATTTGTTCATCTTCTGCCACCGCAAAGGAAGGCGATTCCAGGGGATTCCATCTGTCCAACCCTTTGTCAGGGGTGGCATTGAAATCTCCTGCTATAACCAGAGGAATGCCTTCCGGGACTTGCATGCCGATCCTCCCTAGGAATTCCCTCCGTTCTCCTACTGTATTTGGAGAGTAGATGCAGAGGACACAAAGCAGTTCTAGCTCTAGCATGCCCAGGACCAAGGCCCAACGTCCCTCTTCTTCGTCCACCACCCAATAGGCTGGTCAAAATCTGGAATCTGGAGGGATCCAGATTGCCACCCCTACTGCGCCAGGTCTCAGGGCATGCGCTCTTATAGCTGTGCGAGGCCAGATTTGCTTGTGCGCTCTGTTATGCTCTGGGTTGTCTTTCAGATGGGTTTCTTGTATGCAGATTACATCTGGCCATCGCCTGCCTCCAATTCCTTTGAGTTGATCCCTGATGGCTTGGCGCTTTTCGGGTTTGCATAATGCCAGACCATTTACGTTAATGGAGCGCAGGTCAAGGTCAGCAAAATCGACACACTTTCGTCATGCTAGGTTCTTACAATACAGTGTTTCTAGGTCATCTATTTCCGCTTGTCCTTTTTTTCTCCTTAGGTCAGTTTCGTTTTGAGTGGATGCCTCAGCTTAAGAGCCCATCTGTCTAAGTGCGTTATAGCGGGTGCCAGCGCTTGAGGTCCCATCTGTCTAGGTGCAATACTTTTTTCCGTACTATCCTGCATAGGCTTTGACATACATCGTCTTCGGACCAGAAGTCACTGGCTTTGACTTTTGCACATTGGAGGTCTAGTACGGCGTTGTGGCTAAACCAGCCAAGATTAGAAGATTTATTGGATTCGAAGAGCAGGTACAGGTTATTTCGAGCTATTTGTTCCCAGGAAGCTTCAAATCTCAACCCTACCCTTGCACCCGGGGCATAGTACTTGGGAATGAAGGTCGTCATCTGATCAGTGAAAACTTTGCCTCTTTCCATGCGGTCCTCCTCATGGAGTGAGAACTCCCAACCATGCAGCATCACGCCCCTGTACTCTCCCACCGGGGAGAGGCCCAACTCCCATTTTCCTTCCGCTTTCCTGAGAGGGATTACCACCACCATTAGGTTTGGAAAGAGGTATCTCAAAGAGACCCCGTTCTATGAGCTGTCTAACTTTGAGTCTTTGTGAGGTCATCCCTTCCTCTGCTATTTCCCCGCCGCCATTTGGCACTGAGCGGGAGGGTTCATGCCCGGGTGGGCACGGATCTGATGGCTCCGCCGCTGAAGGCGGGCGAAATCGTCCCCGACCGACGACCAGTATACGTTGAAATGCTTCTGCCCACGTTAAATGGGGGGCGGGGCCGAGCTAAGCGCGTTCCTTAGGGACGGGCTATTATTAAGAAGTGCACCAGCTCAACGTAAGATTTGTCCAAGTATTCCTCCCCCTTGTGTGGGCAGTCCGCTTGCAAATGTTTAAGAATCCAGTCCGCCACAACCTGGACCTTCTGGTCCAGGCTCATTTCTTGCGGGGGGGCGTCGGGGTCAATCGGGTCCTTGGAAGGCTCCTCCATCTCTACATCGGGCAGAGGGGGGGTTGTATCTATGTCCATTTGTTGTGCCCCAAAGGCATCCGAGCAGAAATCTGGAGCCAGTTGATCAAGTCGTGTGGGGAGTGGGGGCTGCTGCAGTTCCTGTTCCTGTTGTTGGCACTGCTGGGGCCGGGGGGATTGTGGTTGCGACTGTTGTGCCTGTGTTGAGTGTTGTTCCGGCAGGTGTGGTGTCTGGGTCCTTGCCTGCTGTTTCAGTCGCGTTCCGTGCTATTGCCCGGGGGATACCTCCCTCCCCTTTTCCCCTGTTATTGTTTTATGCTCTTCTGATACTACGCTATCCTGCGGTTGTTGCGCCTGCCTTTGCTGTGATTGTTGTTCCTCCTGTTGAGGGGTTGGGGACTATGGGGACTGTTGTTGTTCTTGATCAGGCTTGCCGGGCAGTGGGATATGCGGTTGCTGTGTGTTCTATGCCTGCTGCTTTTGCTGCACTTGTTGTTTCTCCCTCGCCAGCTGCCTCAGGTGTGTCCCCTGGGGGCTTAGTAGGAGGTGCGTCTGTTCCTTGGCACCTTCCCTTGCATTCGTGCTTCCATCCTTGGCCCCTTCTTTTGCATCCTTGTCTTTCTGCCCCCTTGTCGTAGCTGTGTCTGTATTCTCCCCGGGGCCCGACGAGATTACCGGGGGTTGGTCGGGTGTCGTCGAGCCTTTGTCTACTGGTTCCGAGATCCGCCCCTCCTGACGATCCCTTCCCAGCGCATTTTCCCCATTTTCTAGACATGCAAAACGGCCCCCATTGATGCTTGTCCCTATATCTGCCTCTATTAACTTTTCCTGTGGACTCACTTTCCTTCCCACAGCTACCCGAGTTTCCTGTTTCTTGGGTTTTACCGGGGGGTTCTTTAGATGGGCTTCCAGGGGTTTGGGTGGGACCCATGACGCTGGTGGATGTGATGCTGTTTTCGAGTCACCTTGTCCCTCCCAAAACCAGCCGACAATTTTCCCATCACTCCCTCCTGGTGCATCAATGTAGACCCATCCCTCGTAGCCTGAATCGACTGCCCGCCACCTGGACTCATCAAAAGGATCCTTCCTAAGTCGGCCGGTGGGCTTGGCTGTTCGTGAGGGGTGTCGGGGGCATGCCGTGTCCGTGTACAAGTGGCCATAGGCTTGGCATTTGACGCACCATGGCCTGAGCTTGTGAGCGGTGTGGATCCGGTATACCTTCCATCCTACACAGAAGGGGATTACGTTGTCAATTGAGAAGATGTGTTTGTCTGGGAGGTTGATAGCTAGCATCAGGTAGTCGTCCCTCTGGGCCACGTGGGGGGGCAGTGGGTTAATGAAGTCTACCACATCGTACTTCTCAGCGAAGTCCTGGACGAACGCTGCTTGGATCTCAATCGGGACGTGTCGGAACTCCACCCAGAAGTACTCTCTCATCATCTGCTCCCTGTAATCCTCTGGCCGTTGCGGTTTCGGGGGGGCCCAGGGTTAGATGCGGACTTTTGACGTTTCGCAGCGGAGGGACTTCCACTTATCCATTGTTTGTTTGTCCTCCTCTGCGACGCACAAGACCGTGATGACAGAGGCTGATGCGGGTTGGATCAGGAATAGTTCATGTGCGCTTGTTGGCGACCCTTTGAAGGCTGCTAAGCGTTCCCTGTTCCAACCAACTTTGTCATTCGTGGATTTGAAGGCAGCATCATCGTGGAAGGCCCAATTACTCGCGTGATTGGTGTACAGTGCATCCCTCGTTCTCACGGCTTCCCCTGAGGGAGTTCTGACAACTGTTGTTCTGCCAGCCTGCTGCAGGATCTTTTTTTCCGGGGGGGCCAGGAGGCGGGACAGGAAAAATGCCCCAGCAGTTGTTAGGTTTCTCACGGGTATTTTCCACTCCTCCTCCCTTCCCTTATTGCCCTCATCCCTCCTACGCTGAATCGTGATGGTGTCTGGGGGGGGGGGTCCCCTCACTCGCCTAGCCCAAGTTTGGGTCGGCTGATTGCGGGGGGTCGAGCTGGAAGAGGCAAGTTAGCTGTGGGGGATCGAAGTGTTGGAGGATCCCGCTTGGTTATCGCTAAGGGACTCCTTCTCCTCCCCTAGTGTTTGATCTTTGAGCGATTCCTTCTCCTTCCCTAATATTTGTTCTTCCCCACCGTCGATTCCAGGCTTTAGCGAGGGATCCAAGTCCAGCCTAGCCTCCCTGTCTTTCTCTTTGTCTCCTAATAGACGGTTCTGGGCAAAGTGTCTCGCCACCCCCCTGTATAAAAGCATCGAATCAAGTCTCCTATGGGAGCGCTGGTGCCTTTCCTTCATCTTGACGCGTTTGTTGTCGATGAGTGTGTCTGGATGGGGATGTATATACACGGTTAAGGCGAGCGGCCTCCTTCTCTCTCTTCTTCTTCTTCTTCTTCTTCTTCTTTTTCCCCTTCTTCTTCTTCCTTGTCTTCCCAGAAGCTCTCCTGCAGCCCTTCTTTTTCAGGCCATGTGGCAGATTTTAGTAGCTCGAGACTAGTGAACCCGCCCCCTCTCTCTCCCTTTTCTCCTACTCTCCCACCTTCCGGCCGCCTTCTCTCTCTTTTCTCTCTTCTTCTTCTTCTTTTTCTTCTGCTTTTTCTTCTCCTTCTCCTTTTCCTTCTTCTTCACGTTCTTCTTCTTTTACACGTTGTTCCAAATAAGTATTACAGTGTGCGCCGTGCTACGTGCCCGCGCCTCTCCGTCCACGTGTCAGGTCGCGACAGCACGGCGGCGGGGGTATCACACACCCAACCCTTCTTGTTCCTAGGTACTGCAGTTTGTGCTGTGCTAGGTGCCCGCCTCTCTCCGTCCACGTGTTCGGTCGCGACAGCCCGACGGCGGAGTTATCACGCACCCACCCCTTTCTCCCCCTCTCTCCTGAGCCCACTCCCTCTCTTTCCCTTTTTCCTCCTTTCCTCCCGACCGCCTTCTCTTTCTTCTCCTTCTTCTTCTTCTTCTTCTTCTTCTTCTTCTTCTTCTACGTTCTTCTTCCTTTTCTAATTGTCGCAAGATCTCCCGTTAGGTTCTTAGGAACTGCAGTGTACGCCGTGCTACGTACCCACTCTCTCCCCCTCTCTCCTCCTCTCCCGTCCTTCTCCTCCTCCTCTCTCCCCCCTTTACCTCCTTTCTCCCCTCCCTACTTGTCTAAGTTCGGTGTACAGCTTCTTCCTTGAACTGGCCTTCCCAACTCCTCTTTTGTTCCTTGTTCTGACCGGGAACTCCTCTTTCGTTCTTTGTTCCTTTCGTCCTTCCTCTTTCCTTCCTCCTTCCTTTCTCTCTCCCTCAAAGCCCCCTTCTCCCTCACTCTATCTTTCTCTTCCTTCTCATATGTAAGTTAATGTAACCCCACTAAGCACCCATGTTTCGACGTCCACCTCATCGTCAGCGCTTGAAAACCAGTACGGGGGTGGGTGGGGGATGACCGGGGAAGAGGCGGGAGGGTCAGGATCAGGGCAGTGTCCACGTCGGGGGGGGKGGAGGGGGGCCGGGCGACCAGGCTCGCCGAGGACAGGGAAGCGAAAGGGGAGGGGCGAGACATAAGTCAAGGGGAGACGGGTCGAAGGGGGGGGGCGTCCAAGTCAGGGGGATGGAGGTGAGGGTCAGGATCCAGGTAGCGGGGGGGCCGGGCAACCGAGATCGAAGAGGGAGGGTCGGGATCCGGGGAGATGATGAGCGGGTAGGCGGGCGACCAGGAATCGCAGAGGAAGGGGGAGCGAGAGGGACGGGATCAGAGTCAGGCGGAGGGGGGGAAGCGTCCAAGTCGGGGGGATGGTCGAGATCCAGGTGGCGAGATCACAAAGCGGGGAGGGAGGGTCGGGATCCGGGGGGATGATGAGCGAGGAAGGGGGAGGAGGGAGGTACAGGTCGGGATCCAGGTATCGGGGGGGGCGGGCGAGGTCGGGATCCGGGGGGATGAAGAGTGGGGAGGGGGCCGGGCGACCAGGGATCGCTGAGGAGGGGGACGCGGGAGGGTCGGGATCAAAGCCGGGCAGAGATGGGGAGGGGCGTCCATGGCAAGCCGGGGGGGTGGTCGGAACCCAGGTGGCGGGGGGGGGGCGGAACCGGGGGATAGTGAGTGGGGAGGGGGCCAGGCGCCCGGGATCGCTGAGGAAGGGTTCACAGAGGAAGGGGAAGTGAAGAGGGAGGAACGGGATCTAGGCGGGGGTGATGGGAGATGGGCGACGGGTCGGGATCCAGGTGGCGGGAGGAGAGGGGTGACGGGTCGGGATCCACATGGC